TTTTGTGCAAATGGAAAATAATAATCACGGCAAAATAATAAAATGGACGCAGGCGAGAAAGGTGCAGGAAATCGGAAAATGGGCTGGAGGATTGACAGGACGACCCCGCATGTCAGCAAAAGAGGAGGAGGATGGAGGGGGAGGGGGAGGGGGAAAGGGGGAGTGGCGAGGGGAGGGGATGGCAAGAAGGAGCCCGCAGCATCCTGTGGCTTTGTTTCGAGTGATTCTCAACAAAGCGCACTGCACTTAATTCTCTTTACGCACACACACACACGAACAGTGAGATGAACACACACACACACACATACATACATACACATGAGGGCAGACATGTATGACAGGCTTTTTATGCCTAAGTATCTTAAGTTGTCAACTCGAAAAGGCAAAAGAAATCCTTTAATTTGCAGTAAAATGCAAAACGCAGCGCCACTTTGTCACGAGGGGTGGAACATCTGCGCTGGTATGAGTATCCTTGTGTATGTGTATGTGTATGTGTGTGTGTGTGTGAGGGGGTGGAGAAGGAGTATCTGTGCGGCAAGAAAGAGGCAACAAGTCAGCTTCTTCTTCTTCTTCTTCTTGCGGCGTAGCGTACGTTGGACTTTGCCACTTGGCATGCGAGCGCAGGCGAATGGCGCCTCAAGGTATGCAGTAAATTAAAATGCAGTGACAGTGGCGGGCCATGGCCCAAAAAGGGGGTTCACGGGCGCCTCTGCGCGGGGAGAGGGGGTGGGGGTTGAGGGGTAAGGGTAAGGGAATGGCGGCAGGGAATGACATGCTTCTCGCATGAGGGTTGCACTCTCCTTTGCACTTTTCACATTAAAAACTTTTGCCCGCAAGACAGCCCACGCACCCACACAAATGCCATTCTTTATAAAAGCACTGAAAAAGATATTCCTATTAAATAACAATAAGAAATAATAAAAGTTTCAAATTAAATTAAAAAGAATCGTTGATTCCATTCAGTGGTTTCTTATTACTCTTTTTGAAATAGTAAGTACATTTAAGGATGATATTTGGTTTAGCTTTTTATCAACACCATTTAATATAGTTCTATTTATTTCCTTCAGTGTAGAAATTCCCTTCGGGCAGAGGAAGACTTCCTGAGCTTCAGTTTTGACAACGCACTGGCACACACAACCTAACAACCCAACAATTACAATGCATTGAGCCGTGAGCGTGCTGTAGACTTTGATTTAGCCAGGAGGGCTAGCAAACTTCCAAGGGGTATGGATCTCGCGATGATTGGAACTGCTGGAGCACACCTCGCTGGGGCTATTTGCATATGAATAGCAAGCAGGTGGAATGGCACACATATCGGGGTGGCCAGCGCTTATGGCCACGTTAATGGCAAACTAAACTGCAAACTTTGCTTTTGCACCGACGCACGCATACGTAATAAAAGGTGTAAATGAGCAAAAGAACCAACTGCTGTGCAGCAGGTGGGAGATTCGAGGGGGTGGTGGGGAGTTCAGGGTTGTGGGGCAGTGGGCGGAAAGTCAGCCAGGTGAACAGCCAGCCAGACATGGACTTACGCCTTGCCCCATTATAAGGGCCACTTGCAGCCGACTAAGAAGGCAGCATTGTATTTATTTCAACCGCACAGTGGAAAGTGGTTCTTAGTTCTAGTAATAGTTCTTATTTAAATAATATAATAAGAATAGAAATGCTTGCTCTTTAATTCAATCTTCGGGATAATCTATAAATGTTATTGGGAACATACATTTTGTGCTGTTATAACTTATTGGCATTGAAGTTTATAGCAACACATTTGAGTTTTCAAAACAGTATAGTATTTAAGAGTGTCAAATCTCTATATATCCTTATACAAGTTTCTATCCGATTTATAAAAACATTTAATATTATTTTTAAATTGTTGTAAAATACTTCTACTTCAAAACCCATTTTGAAACCACTGTAATGTGTGTGTATTAAACTAAATTTAGCGTCACTTTGAGTTACGGCAGCAGCGGTGACGATGACTTGGCAGCCTTGGCAGCAGGAGCGACAGCCATTACAATGCCAGAGAGGACAGGAATGGAATAGGAAGTGGGCGGAGGGGGCTCCTGGGCAAGGACATCATGTTTGCAAATTTATGTAGTTGTAAGTTGTGCCAAAGGAAATGCCATAAAAATGAGAAACAGAATTGTGCGGGCAGCGAGCAAACCGACCGACAGACCGACCGACCGACCGACGGATGGATGGCTGAAATGTTGGCTTGGCAAGCTCGGACGCGTTTAAAGTGCAATTAGCGCACGTAATTGTAATCGAGTTGGCCAGAAGGCACCTGGAGTCGTCCTGAGAAACCCCCTTCCACCCCTCCCCCTCCCCCTTTCCCTTTTTCCACCCACTTCCGGTTGGCGGTGACTCCGGTTTCGCAGGTCTGCCTTTCGTCTGCTGGCCCAAAGGGGCTCAGCTCCTTTTTTATTCGGCTGCTTTCTGCTTGCCGCTTTTTAAAGGCAACCTGGGAGCTGTAAATAAATTTGGCACTTAATCATATTTACGGATTTCGTGGGCACATTTATTTATGTGTCCCACAGTGGCAGCAGCTACTTACTGCACTTTCTGATTTTATTTTATTTTATTATTATTTCTTTTTCTTTTTTTTTTTTTTTTCTTTGAGCCATTTAGGCTGCTTGAGCTAGAGGATTTCGTCGGCCGGACGGAAATACAATACGCCCAAGACCAATTTGGGCCCATTCTCGAGAGTCGGACGCTCTGCCTAATTATGCGTTCTGGCATTGTCATGGATGGCCGAAAATCCGAAATCCTGAAATCCTAATTAGGCCCAAAGCGTCGGCCATTGTGCCACATTGTGCCGTTGGACGGGCATTGTTAACGCCACTCATCCCCGCCGAGTTCACTCACCTGCGCGCTTCCGCTTTTTTGGCTTTATGAATTTTTCAGACATTTAACAGCGACGGCTGAAAGCTGCAACTTGGAACTGATTTATTCGCCATTTGATGGCCGGCAAAATAAATAAACCAATTTCGGTTTCGGGCATTGTTTCGCTGGATATGTGGCATGTATTTTGTGGTTCCTGTGGCTTTCGTTTAATTTTCGTAAGTGTTGCTTTCGATGTTTTTGCATAATTTGCGGTTTGTTTTGCCGATAACACGGATGTGTTTCTGTTTTGAATTGATTTAAATCAAATTAAAAAACGAAACACCCTTCACAAAGATTGTTTATGAGCAAACATTTCAAGCAAATGCTTTGACAAACTCTTTTTCCGAGAAATTAATTACTCAGCCCCGTCGGTCTGCTCATCGATATTTGTCACTATTGTTGTTCTTGATTATTGTTAAGTGCAGGTGTAATGGCGAAGGGAGTCCTCAGTACGCGGAGAAACTGTCACTTGAATGCATTTTCATTACACCTCATTACATTTCACTTGCATCTGCAATTGTGTCATGTCGCCGGCTTTCGCTGCCTTCGAGAACGCCTATGAATGCCGGCCTGAAAACTGCCGAGCGAATGGATTCGTTAGCTGAATGGGCTGTGAGTGTTTTTAATTGAAAACAATAAAGTTCTGCTGGGGGAACCGGGACTCCTCCCATACAATGCATTAAATGTAACAGTAGAGGGAAATATAACACCATACGAATTTCTAACGCTCTTTCAAGAAGTTTAGTTTTGCCAGGAGCAAGTTCAAAAAAGCATAGCTTTTGGTAAATTTTTGTCTGTAAATTTATAAGAACCAAAACTTTTTTAATTTAAAAAACGCAAGGGTAAATGTTAGGCTGTGTATTAAAAAAATTAAGAATGCTGTGAAGTTATCAATATTTTACATAGCTTAGTTTTCTTAAACCATACTTTAAGACACGTTTTTATGCTATTCAAACCATTTTTGTTACAAATCAAATATAATTGTAAAATAAAATATATGTTATTATACATTATTATACACAATTCTAACAACACTTGCAAATATTTAAAAATACCCTTTCCCGTGGAGAAGAATCTCACGCTGAGCTGAAAGCTGAGCATTCGATGGATTGTTCGGTTCGCTTTCTTTGTTCGGGGCGTAAAAGGCCTCCCATGGAAATGGAAATGGAAACGGCGGTGATAGAGCCGCCGTAGATGGATAGATACGAGTACGAGTCGAGTATTCGCGGCAGACAATACTCGGGCACAAAATGCGAAAGTGATAATTAAAAATCGCGCCATATATACTGGTTACCAGATACTGTTGTTGCCGATTCTCAGCCCGTTGTTTCCTCGGCATGAAATGGTTATTGTTTATGATTTTCTCTCTCGTGCCGGCAGGATATTCGCATTGCAATCAGCGTTGGTCTGGGCAAAATCAAAGGGGGCGTGGCATGTGGGGGGCCGCGAATGAAGTGATCAATGCGCCTAACAATGATTGACGGCACTTCCATGGAGGAGGGGCTCAAAACGGGGCGGTGGGAATGGGGGACCCATGAAAAGACTGTCGAAGATGGAGCTTCCCCGTCGGCGCTGCAGCTGACAAACAATTATGCAAAAATCGCTGGCGTTAGCACTTTTATGCAGAAATTAATTTTGCATTTTTAATTTTACATTCCCGGCGGCGGCGGCTTAAAGCGAGGGGAGAATCCACGACATGCCACAAAACGCTGCGACAGCAATCCGCACTGTTCGCAAAGGATTGATAAGGGCCAGACTTAGTGGGTCTTACATTTAAAGAAAAACATAGTTTAAAATCAACTGTGTAGAATATTTTATTTCAGAGCTTAAAATAGTGTATAAGTTTGAGCATTTAATTTTTGTATTTACAGATAAAAAGGCACAAGTAATTTTTGTTAAAAGTATTTAAGATTGCCTAATTTTAAAAGCTACACATTTCATTTTGATTATTCATACCCAATTTAGTAAAGCGAATAGCTCTAACTTTTTAAACCTGAAAATCTTACTAAGCCTGAGTATATATGTACCACACAATTTTTTAAGTGTAGCTTAAGATGTAAACATCACGCGATCAGTAATCGCAGCTAGCTTTTTGGACACGTACCTCTGGGGGTGGGCTGTTCGTTAGATTTGAATTCAGAAATCATTCCGCAATCGGAAGAGCTACCAGTTGGTTGTTCAAGATGTTCCAAGCGGACCGTCGAGATGTGGCTTGTCTGCCGATCAATTTGGCTCCACCGAAGGAGCAGGCTCCATCCCGTTTGGTTCGGGTTCCTGATCCTGATCGCCAGGATATGCAGTTCCCGGATATTTGGCTGCGTGATAATTGTCGCTGCGAGGAGTGTTACTTGCCACAAACTTTGAGTAGGTTGCCCCAGCTGTGGAACAATCTGGACACCAATGTGAGGGTTCTTCGACAGAGCGTGGACGTGGATCAGGAGGTCTTTTTTATAGAGTGGTCCGATGGACATGCCTCACAGTATCCATTCAGTTGGCTGAGGGAGAGGGACTTCTCGCCTGAAAATCGAGAACGGTATTTAAGTGATTCGTATCGTCCGGAAAAGAAGTTATGGAGTGGTCGCGATTTTGAGAGAATCCGTAAAGTTTTTTACTACGAAGAACTTATTACCTGTGACTCAAAGTTGCAAGAATGGCTTCACAACTTGGCTGTTTATGGAGTAGCTCTGATTAAAGAAGCTCCCATTGAAATGGATGTCCTGCGGAAATTGTCCAACCGAATCGGCTTCATGAGACGCACCACTTATGGAGATGAATTCAGTGTTCGAGCTCAGCCAGGAGCCAGTAATTATGCCTATTTGGCAGCACCTCTTCCCCTCCACACGGACATGCCGTATTTCGAGTATTTGCCAGGAGTCACCATGCTGCACACTCTGGAGCAGTCGGAGTCTCCGGGTGGAGTCAACCTGCTCACCGACGCCTTCTTTGTAGCAGAGCTGATGAGGGAACGGTATCCGGAGCAGTTCAGAGTTCTCTGCCAAACGCCAGTGGATTGGGCGGACATTGGAAGCGATGGCGATCTGAAGTTCCACAACATCTGGAGGGCACCAGTGATCAAGTGAGTAAATTTGGGTTGTTTATTCTATAATACGAAATTAACTTATGATGCAGTTCGTTAGAGAATCGAAATACAAAGATTTAGAGGTATACAAATTAGGATACAAATTAGAAGAGTTATGGACTCAGGAGTAGTAAATTTTGGTAAATTTTTAGCAAACCTATTTTTGGAAATTTCGAAAGGGGTTGTATCATAAATATTGAACAAAATCGGCCAAAAAATAAAAAAAATATCCAATGATGCCCTTCATAAGAGAATTAAAATCCAAACTTTGAGAGGTATGCCACTTCAAAATCAGATATAAATTAGAAGAGTTATAGACTTAGAAGTAAAAAAAAATAAAAAATTAACTATGTCGGATGTAAATTGAAAAAGTTATTGTCTTGAAAGTGCCTTGCCTTAACTCCAATTTCGATGCATTGCAGCTTGGACGCGGAGGGGCGGTGTGTGCGCATCAACCACAGCATTCCGCAGCGCGATAGCCACTTCAGCGTGCCGCTGGAGCAGGTGCGTCCGTGGTACGAGGCGATGGCCAGGTTCGTGGGAATGGCCCAGGAGCACTCGTGCGGATTCAAGACCACGCCCGGCGACGTGCTCACGTTCGACAATCTGCGCTTGGTGCACGGGAGGACCGGTTACGACGACACGGACCGCAATGTGCGCCACATCCTGGGAGCCTTCGTCGACTGGGACATCGTCTACTCGCGACTGAGGGTCCTGCGGCATGCCGCCTCGCCTGGCGGCCCCTAGATGGCTGCCTGCCACATGTGCTCTGATTGCGACACTAATTAGCCATCTATCAATGCCTGGCATTTCGACTGACACCGCAGAGCAGTCATATACGTACACACCTAATCGAATTATTAATTTACTTTCGCATTTATTGTGCAATTGCAACTCATCAGTTTATTGACAGTTTAAATAAATACTACTCTAATTGATTTTTGTCTTTGATATACTTCAGTGCTAATTGCTGACATTTAATTGGGTTAATCATGTGGTTTTATGCCATTTGAGGTAGATCGAGTAACATGAGGAATCTGCTAAACGTGAACATCTGGCTGATAAGATTGCCAATTGGATTTGATACCCTGTTTAAAATGAAAATAGAATATAATAGTATTTGCTATTTACCAGCCATTTGCTTTTCTCTGCTTATTTTATTAGGGAAAAAAGAGTATTGAATGAATAAAGAACTCAAATGAGTTAAAAATCTCTTTCAAATGTTATTGTTCAGCTAATTTTTGTATAATGTAAAATGTTTTTTATTTGGTGTCCAGTAAGTTATCAAACTAAATCATTGCGAAAAAAACATAGGGTATATTGTAAGCTACTACCCTTTGATTTATTTATATTTTTTTCTTATCCCAGTGTATGTCAAGTAGTCAAATATCTTTCTATAAATAATTCCCGGCGGGCAAACAGGCCACTGTAAGTGAAAGTCCAGCACACGTCATTGTTTACGCTGGGCAACAAAGTGGCTTATCAGTGGCCAGTTGAGTCAACATTGTCTACAAATGTGTACCATATATGTACGCTGGTTATCAATTTATGGCAATGCCGAGATCAACACTGACTTGCCAGAGCTCTTGGCTGGTGGCTCTTGGCTCTTGGCATGCGAGTAAATCACACCCACACACCTTCGGCTTCGAGTCCCCAGATTTTTACGGGACAGGAAGAAACTTTCAGTTTGTCTTGGGTGTATTTTCCTTCTTTTTTTTTGGTTTTTGGGTGTTTGGTTGTGGTGGCCCGCAGGCAAATCCTTGGGAAATCTTTTTATTTATGTCATTGATGCCACCAAGACCAAGTGAGAGCGAGCGAAGGAAACACAAACCGAGAGCCGACATCCCATCCGACAGCCAGCAGCCGGATTTCGAGTTGGAGCACATGAATTTGTACATGGCAGCGAGTAAATCCCTCTAATAATCCACATAATAAGCACTGGAAGTAGCTGTGTGGCAGCAACAGGCCGAAAGGGTTGCTCGCTGCCCCGGCCCTTGTTTATAAGTTCATAAAAGTCAACGGGCCGGGAAGTTCGGAAGTTCGGGGGCGGGGAGCACATAAAAAGCGAGCCAAATGCAAACGGAAAATGGCCAAAAAGAAAAGGCTGGCTAAAGCCACCAGTCGCAAATCCAATTTCTTCCGAATGTGTGTGAGTTTCGGGGTAGGTGAAATTTTACTGCAGTTTCGGGCAGACCGTGCAGCAGTCATAATGTGTAATTGAAAACCTGCTCTGAATCGTACTCCTGGGGCACTACTATATAGTCCTTAGCTGCAGGGAAAAAAAGCCTCCCTAATTGGCAATATGGTCAAACAACACACAATTTGTGCGACAGAATCGAGAATGTGACTATTGTGTAAGCAAAGCGATGGAATTGGTAAAATATCTCGAAAAAGATTTTAAAGAAGAAGTTCCCTACAATTATGTAAATCAATATTTTTTGTAGTTTGTTTTTTTAATGTGTAAATATATAAAATATAATATTCAAGAAATTGTATTTAATGACATAGTTATATTGAATTGCCAAGCTGGAAAACTCAGCACTCGTATATCAGTATAAATTAAAAATTGAATTTCCCAAAAATTATATACTGATGAAGGTAAGTTGCTTACTCTGATTTACTCGCAATTTATTACTCCCAAGTAAATTTATTTACAATCCCATATTAATAGGTACAGAAAAGTTATTTATAAAGCTTGTTTTTTCTTGTACAGACACACTTATCTAAATGACACCCTAAATGTATCATAATGACCCTCATTTGCTTACTTTTTTGGCTTAAGCAACCACTTTCTGAGTTTTTGCTGTATCGTGAGAAAGGGTTTTCCAGCGCGACACTTGCACAATTGCCAAACTAATACGCTTACATACAATTTCCGCAATTTCCGCTGTGGCTGCGGCTTCGCTTCTCTTGGCCTTCCTCCTTTTTCGGATTGCGGTCGGGCTTGTGTGCCAAGATTTTGGCCAGGACAATGCCAAGTTTGGCTGTCACAATGATAAACATGCGGCAATTGACGCAATCATTGTCTGTCCATGAATTGAATTAAATCAACTCCAGAGGGGGAGTGAAATCTCCTCGCGCTGACACTTGCAGAATCAGCGAAGGACATCTATATTTTCTAGCCTGTGATTCTCGATGCTCGCAAAATTAATGCCTTGGTTATGCTTGGCGTGGCAGCGAAATCAAGCCACAACTATGGGTTGCAAGGAGTGATTGTTACACTGTAGAAAGGGGACGGGGGTAAACAAGGGTTAAGGCTGCTCCTTGGGTAATGCCCCATAATTCCGATTCCGATTCGGCTGCAGGACAGCGCATTTTGCTTATTAGAATCCGCTTGTACTGTTCGCTGTGTGTGAGTGTGTGTATGTGTGAAGCTATGTGTTTGGGTGTGTGTGTTTGTGAGCTCCTTGATGCCGCTGGAGGGTAATAAATTCCTGAGTCCGCCCCCTTCGTCCTGGCATTTTCAAAGTTTATCACCAACGCGCGTCTGCAACTTATGTCGTCTTTTTCCGCTTCTTCGTCTTTCGTCCTTCGTCCTTTTTGCCCGCTCGCTCCTGTTTGTCTGCACGTCTGTTGTGGTTATGTGAAATCACATCGTAAAAATGTCCAGGTCCAAATGCTACTGCTGTATGCTAGTGTGTGTATGCTAGTGCATGTGTGTGTGTGTATGTATGTCTGTTTGGCCCAAAGCCCATAAGTCCCGCCTGTCTCACCTGAGTTTTCGCGGGGTGGCGGCAACCCTTTACTCTTTACCCTTTCGCTGTTCGCCATTCAATTTATAGATGCCGCCCATATAAATATTTATTTCTATGTGCAGCTGCCTGCCCCTTTGACACCACGCCGCGGCATCATTATTATTTTTATGCGCGCGTCTTAAAAGCATTCCGCCGATCAATAAACCAGCGCTCCTGCATCCTTTCCAATAAGCGAAAGTGCTTTTTGAGCCACCAGTGTGTTAGTGTGCGTGTGTGTTTGTGTGGGCCATCAAACAATTAAAGGTCATTCCGGGCTGAAAGAAACGAGAGGAGAGGTGGGTAATCCTAACTGGGCCAAATCCCCGGGAAACAGTGCATTATTAGCTGGTTGTCATCGCAATGCCGTGCCACAATGCACATGCAAATAATTTCCATTCAGCCAGCGGCTGCTGCGACACCATTTGGCATTTTTAATTAGGCTAACACCGGCTCTATTGCAAAATGTTGTATCACAAATGCTGCCAGCAGACTATAAAACTCGCATTAATGGAGTGGGTGTGGTGGGGGGCAGAGGTTAATATTTATGCCTTTCGGTCGGGGATTTATGTCCTTCTACTAATATCCACGAGTATTTATTTGTGCTGGCCTATAAAGTGGCGAAATGATTCTAATGTGAACAGTTTAACATGTAGCACATAAAGCAAAAACAAGCCGTCAAAATATTTTCCTGCAATTTGTGGTTTATTGAGGATGTTTTCAATATATTTTGTTTTGGCATCAATTAAATAAATGTTTTCCAGATAATGATTTGATTGACCATTGATAAATTGACAAGTTGATAAATGGATATGCTGAAAATATAAACATTTTCCTCTATTTTGATGCTTGTTTAGAATTATTTAATAACTTGTTTGCCATCAACAAAATAAGGAATGTCAAGTTTATAACTTAATGACGTGTGAAAACTGTGAAAAGCAAAACATTTAAGGAACAAATTTAAAAGGCAAATAAAAGGCTTATATCCTTTTGGGATTATTCAATACGAATATCAAATAGCTTGCTTTCTCCGGTTGCATGAACAGTTGGCATAATTGCAGCCACTGACAGGCGAATGCCAAAAATATGTAAATACCCAGTGGTATGTATGAAATACATGCACTTAAACCCAAATAGCTGAACAGCTTGAGTAGTTTGGGATCTCTGGAAATCGCTGTAAACGCAAATGCTGATGGCTGCAGGCAACGTCATTATCGTCGAACGCAACAACATCGTAATTAGTGCCAGGAATTGAGTTACGCTCTGAATTAATAACATTTCCGGCATTATAATTTGGACAATATATCACGGGTGTTATCCTGATCGAGGGGAAGGGGTGTGGCGGGGTGAAAGGACATCGTACCATGGCGATTGGCCGATTTTGCTTGTGGCTTGTGGCATGCAAAACGTAACGGTAAATTGGTTAACAATTACACAAATCTCATAATGAAGTTAAGAGCCCCAATGCTTTCGTCCTTTCGATGGCGATGGCGATGGCCATTTCAATGGCATCATCGCCAGGACCCGGAACATTTCCATTGCCTGCGGTCAGCAGAATTTCCTTCGTCTTCCGTCCCTTTCGCTCCCACTCTCCAAATATACCCGTCTCGCTCTCTGTGTTAAATTGATTAGATGTTGTTGTTGCCTTTGCCTTTGCTGTTTCGGTGGTGTAAAGTGGGTGTGGATGTGGGCGTGGGGCGTGGGGTGTGGGTGTGGGTGTTGGTGTGTTTTAGGTGGGTTGACTGCCCTTAGCCATTGCTGCACTTACCACCAGCCAATTTGCAGCTTTGTTCTCGAGTGTAACCCTTAACAGGTGTTGATGTTTGCTAAGTAGCCAAGCCCCCTCCGCAAGCCCCCCCGCTTTTCCCGCCCTTTACGGCTAGCTGCACATTGCTTTGATTATTTTCTATTTTCTACAAATTGTATGCAAATAGTTGAGGTTTACCTTTAGCCCAGGACGCAGGACGCTTGAAGCCTGACGAAGGACGAGAAGCTGCTTGCAGCCGGAGACAGTTAATATTTCCCAACTAAAGCCGCAATATTGACTTTTCCACCTGGGCCAAATGAAGCAAGCGTTTAAACCTTATTTGCCGTTACGCCTTCGACCTCCGGGCATGCCCAAAAAAAAAGAAGAAAGGATACAAGGAAGAAAGTCCTTTGTCCTCCGGCTGAACTCTGGCATACGGGTTGTGTGCCCATCAAATGTT